TAGAAAGACATGATGCTATAAACACTGACATTTCTGGGAGGTAAAGATCAGATGAATTTTTAGAAAATTTCTTGGAGGAATACCTACAAATTTAGATGGAACGTTCATCTTTTTTCTACAACTCTTTTTAGTACAGCTGTTATTTAAATACCTTTTGGCACTATCTACAACTGTATCTAAAACTGCATGTATGCAGACGTACCTGAGTCATGGTATCACATTTGATCATATTAATTAATATGTTAATTTTTGCTTTATAAATATTAAACATTATTAAACACTATGGTAGAAAGACATGATGCTAATCACTGACATATTTCTGGGAGTTAAAATTCAGATGAATTATTAGAAAATTCCTTGGAGTGATAGAAATGGATCTTATTTCTTTAGCCCCAGGTGCAGCGCTCTTCTCACAGTACCAACACCAGGCCACAAGCCCCTGTGGTAAAAATGCATTAGATAAAAATATAAGGTTTAATATGGATTGGTTTTGGGGGATACTTTAACACATAGATAGTTATAGCCGATCTTTTGAAAAATATACTAAATTTTTTTGACTCCAGAACACACTGCGAGTCTTCRTCAGGTTTGTAAATTAGGTTCAAGTTTCGCTATGATAACCACTCAACATTATAATTCATGGTCTAAAATAGTGTTCAACAATGGGACGTACACTCTAGGGAACAAAAGAATGCAGTATAATAGTGAAACTTGAAAGGTTCAATTTATTCAGCTTTCGACAGGGAGATGGAGGAGAGAATACATAGATGGGATACGAAAAGGAAAAGAGCTTTGTCCAATTCCTGAAATACATAATATATATTTCAAGGTATTTTTATTTCTGCAAACTTACTTGACAAGACCATTCCAGTAGACTTCAGGTAAGATGTCTTTCTTCATGTAGTACATTGATGTTCTTTCCTAAAAATAAGAATTATCAATTATTAAAACTAATTAGCCTTGTTTGCTATGCTTGATCAGCCCAGAGGTTGTTTGAGGGTTTCATCTGTGAGTTAGCCATRCCCTGACTAAGATCAGCCCAGAGGTTGTTTGAGGGTTTCATCTGTGAGTTAGCCATGCCCTAACTTAGATCAGCCAACTGCTTCACAGTGTAGAAAACTTCCTTGTGGCACATTATTTTTGCAAAAGATTGCAGCTCAGATCAGGGTTAGACAACTTGAATTTAGTACCAAGAGGGTCRCCTAAACTTACAGAATGATTTGTACATTAGTATTTCCACAGAAATCATTTACCTTGCCCTGGTCAAATGGGAAAGTTTCCAAGGGATTGCCTTCAAAGTCAAACTCTGCTAAGATGAGCTTTCCATGTCCTGTCACAAGGGGACAAGATGTGTAGCCATCATACTGAAAGTATTTAAGAATGAGTTAATCATATGATGATGATTCTAAAGACAAAATTTATCTTATGAAACAAAGAACAAATGATGATAACAATATGATGATGATATGGCGATGAAGATATATTATTGATGATGACAATGATGTTGGTGATGAAGATTAATGGTATATGATGTTCACAGTATGATGTTGATGGTTGATGCTGGGTGATTCAAGATGATGACAATGATTGATAATGACTGATGAAGACTGATGAATAATATATATGATGACTGATGACCTGACTGTTGACGATGAGTGTTGATGACTGATGATGACTGATGATGGTGATGATGGATGGTGATGATGATACAATGATGATTACTGATGACCTGACTGTTGACGATAACTGTTGATGATGATTGAGGATGGTGATGTTTGATGGTGATGATGATACACTGATGATGACTGATAATGATGAATGATAATAACAATTGATGATGATGATGAATGATTACTGATGATTATGGCAACAGACATCGGCTCCACTACCAACAGTATTACCATACCTCAGCCGTCAATGGTTTTCCCTCCATTGACAACAACAAGTTTGTGTTCAAGACTCCTGATTGGCCAGCCACCGCAGCAGCAGTCTTCCCATTTGGCGAATTGGTGCAATCACCGATACCAAAGATGTTTTTGTATGTTTTATGTTGCATTGTTAATTTGTTTACATCGACAAATCCATTGGCATCTGATATGGGGCTACCCCTTAGACATGGAGGAGGGCTCATGGGTGGGGTCACATGGAGGAAGTCRTACTGAAAAGAAACGCAAAGAGGTATATCATTTCATGCTAATTTCATCAATTGAAACCACAATGCACCATTTGATCCAAAGGTAGTTGCCACAAGTATAGGTAGAATGTTATATGCATTGCTAGTCCGTAAAGTAGCTGGTAAGATTGAGAGTTGTTTTTTCTAACTGTAGCTGCCATGTCCCTTCCACCCCCC